CCTCACTCACTAACACACACACCTCACACTACAGAGATACGGACCCCCACTCTCTGACACACCAGGGAGACGACAGACACCATGTCTCTGACACACACAGGGAGACAGACAGACACCAGGTCTGACACACACAGGGATGGCATAGTGTATTTCTCTCTCACACACCAGGAAGACAGACACATTTTGTCCCTTTCACACACAGGGAACTCAGACACCATGTCCCTCTCTTCCACACACAGGAAAGACAGGCACCATGTCTCCCACAGAGAAGTCTCACACCATTTCTCTCTCTCACACACAGGGAGAACAGACACAATGTCTCACGCACACACACGCACACACACACACACACACATGGCTCTTCATATCTCTCACAGACACACCGGAAATGCAGAAGACAGACCCCATGTCAGCATGCACAGAGACACAGATGCTGTGTCTCTCCCATAGGCAGGTGAAGACAGACACTGTGTCCGTGTCACCCACACGGGGACGAGACACCATGGCTATGCAGACACGGGAGAAGACAAGACAGCGCCATGCACATGCACACACACGGGAACACAGACACCGTGTCTCTCACACGCACAGGGATTTGGAGACCATGTCTCATCCCAACATGATTAGACAGAACTGAATGTCATTTCACACACACACACACACACACACACACACACACACACACACACGGGGTCAGACAGACACACAGAAACATAGCGCCATCTCTACCTCACACACCCGGGGAGACCAACACGACTTTCACACACATGAGCTGGAACAGACTCCATGTCTCTCTCAACACACGCACTGTGGAGAACCCCATGTCTTTAAAACACAGACACACGGGAGCCGGCTGCCATCGCCCTTTCAGGTATGGGGAGACCGACTGCATGTTTCCCATGCGCGTGCACACGCACACGCAGGACAGACACTCTACCTTTAACAGACACACCTGCAGGAAGAAGGTGAGTGGCGGGCACACGTCTCATGGACATACACACACGAAGAAGAAGACAGACAGACAGGCGCTCTCACACACAGGAGCGCAGACACCTTCCTCACACTCATTGGAGGACAAACACTAGTGTCCTCACACATGCTCACCGGAAGACAGACCCGTGCCTTTCACACATACAAGAGAGGTCAGGCATCATGCCTGTCTGTCTCTCACACACAAAGGATCCTGTTTCTCATACACACCGGCGAAATGAGACACCATGTTTCTCTTACACAAATGGTGAGATGGATATCCTGTCTCTCTCTCTCTCTCTCTCTCTCTCACACACACACACACACACACACACGGAGAATTAGACACCAAGCACAGAGAAGACGCACACACACGCATAGGAAAGACAGACGCATTATCTCTCACACACAGGAGAGCAAACACCTTCCTCACACTCAGTGGAGGACAAACACTAGTTTCCTCACACATGCTCACCGGAAGACAGACCCGTGCCTTTCACACATACAAGAGAGGGCAGGCATCATGCCTGTCTGTCTCTCACACACAAAGGATCCTGTTTCTCATACGCACCGGCGAAATGAGACACCACGTTTCTCTTACACAAATGGTGAGATGGCTATCGTCTCTCTCTCTCTCTCGCTCTCTCTCTCTCTCTCACACACACTCTCACACACACACACACACACACACACGGAGAATTAGACACCAAGCACAGAGAAGACGCACACACACGCATAGGAAAGACAGACGCATTATCTCTCACACATACAGAGGAGACACAAACACCACATCTCACACGCACACAGGAAAGGTAGCATTGTGTCTCAGGCACACACATGGGTAGCCAGACGCCCTGTCTCATACACACAACTAGACAGTGAGTAGGGAAGACACATGCGTCTCTCTCTCTCACACACACCCTCTCTCTGAAAAGACAAGGCCCATTTCTCACACACACACATTGGGAGACAGACACCATTGCGGATACATACATGGGGAAAGACAGATCACACACCAGCTCATACACACACACGTGTGCACACACATAAACACGTCTCACATGGTTGACAGCACCACGTGTCTCACACCCATGAGGGACATAGACCGTATTTCTTGTGTACTCAGTGGCAGACGGCACCATCTCTCTCTCACACGCACTGCAGAAGACACACACTCCGCGTCTGTCTCATCCATGGGGGAGACGATTGCCATGTCACACGCACACAGTGAGATACACCCATGCCTCACACATAACTTACACAGAGGAAGACAGCCACCTTGTTTTCACACACGGGAAGACAAATACCATGTCGCACACTGACACGCAGCCACAGCGCCGGTGTCTCACCGCTTCTCTGGCCATTCGCTCATCGTACGGATTGAACAAGGATGGTGAGAGGCTACCACCCTGACACACTCCTTTCCTGACACACTCCTTTGAAGCCACGCAGTATTCCCTGG